GCTTGTATAATTGACACATTCAAACAATAAATTCACAGTTACGAAGCAACAAGAGAACGATATAATTGCTGTTGGACAAGCGTAAGTTTATTACCTCTGTAAATTGACAAGTAATTGAGAATAGTATGACGTTTTGTCATAACTGTGATTACTATCATTCTGTCATAGTTTTTTTTTTTATTATTTCTAAAAGTGTCATAATTCTGATGTATGTAAAAAGTGTCATTTACCACTGTCCTACTACTGACATGGATTTTGTTGATGTAAACAAAAGCTACTGATCATATTTCACGCAACAATCATGACACAAATGTTGTTTACACATTGATATAATATACTTCCAACATTTTGAATAAATGTGGGCAAAAGAAATGGTAAAATGATATACATAGTAAAAAAGCTGAATGTAAACAAATCCAGCTCTAGATGGAAACTTTAGCTTTAAATTGATAGCTAGCTGATTTCGTTAACTGGTACATAGTAAACGAGACATTAGGATTTGATTTTCTGTTCGAGTACTGAAAACTCGTGTACACTACTGATTTATTCACCAGTAAGTCAAGTATTATTCTCAATAAACGAATAAAGCTTAAGGAATTGTGAGAAAAATCCCATGTTTCATTGTAATCACAAATAACATCAACAAGACCCTTATGTGCTTATCAGATTATGTGAACACATGCAGATTCAAGTGAAGAACTAGTTAAGATTTACTTCTAAGGTGATTAAACATGTTTCTACATAGTTGTGTAGAAATCATCAAATTCTGGCTATATAGCAATCACTGATAAAAAAAAACCCGATCTGTTTCATTACTACTAATCCCATGATTAATCATAACCTCTTGACATCAGTAGCACACATAATTAAGAAACAATATTCAGCTTTCTTGAAAAGACTATACCAATGCTCATATCTTTTAAATTACTTTTAAATTATTATATGTTTAAACTAAACCTAACTGAATGTCGTTCTTCATTAAAGAGTTATGGAGATTGTTGGTTTACATTAAAATCGTATATCAATCATTGTTAGATCGCCATTAGAGATCCGGAATCACTGGACGACCGTTTCGTACTAGTATGATGCATCCATGACACCCACTCACGCGAATTCAACCATGCACCTTCAATTTCTAGACTTTTGATCAATCTAAGGCTTTGCGTAAGCTCACCCACTGTTGTAGGTAGCCAGTGCCTAACATCAGATAGAGTTGAAATCTACCGGCTTCTCACTAGAACTCTGAAAATTACCTCACGAAGTTGGATCACCAGTGATTATATTTTATGAGTTTTTTTATAATTACAGAGTTAAAGAGATGGTTTTATTACACTGAATTTAATATCATTCATTTTAATTTGACTGTGGAAGCTAGCGGTGTGTTATGTGGACTTTTTAAAACCACTTACTATCAATTATATAATCTTAATAATTTCACTAAATGTTTTTGTAATTTATTTTAAAACCCGTTGCAACCAAATATCACATGATTAACCTTATCTTCGTATTCAGTAATCTAAATTCAGTTTATGAAATTCATACAATAATATTTTGATAATATTTTTCTGTGAAATATCAATCAACAGATTTTAAATGACAGTTTCCAGTTGTTGATGTAATGAAATGATACGGTCATATTAAGTTGATGCTATCTTGCTTATCAAAAATATTCACACTTATTTTTAGAATTTTAACGACATTTTCCGACTCCGGCGGTGGTTTCTTCCTACCTGAAGCTTTTTAAATTGTTAAGTTTATTCATGTCTCCAATTTAGTGCTTTTTTTGATGTATGTAAACCAAATCAAAGCATAAAAACGTAATAAACAGTTCCGTGATATAAACACTTAGTCTAACTGCAAACTTTGACTGTTCGTATGGAAAAAACCAACTCCAGAAGGCGACGTTTTAAACGCAGTGGAATGTTAATTATTTACCTATGGACTAGTATGTCGTAATTGGTGGTCAGATTTAAGAAATACGCGTTTGTTTCTGAAACAAATTGAAAATCTTATACCTAAGATAAAAGTAGCATTATAAAAAGAGATTCGTCAACAAATTAACTCAGCGTAACAGTTATCTGTGTATTTAAGATTTAGATAAAGTAGGACTCCATTAGGAATACAAAAACATACTAAGTAATGTTTTTAAATAATAATAATCCCACGATTTTATTTGAAAATTTAGGTAGTATTATGCTCATCACCGAGAGTTAGTTATGCTTTTTAATTTCATCTACAGTAAGATCGTGAATGCATGTAAATATAAACACAACTAATATTAATGCAACATTAATATTATTTAAAAGGGGGAAATGAGTTCGACAGTAATTCTTATTTTAAAATATGCCTTAACTCCTTCTACAGCCTCTCTGTGGCTACTGCCGGTCCCAAACCCGGAAAGAGGAGGAGGGTCGGGCATGTAGGGAGCGGCCACATCCTGTGGAACAATAACTCGCTGGCAAAGGCGCTTAATTGAAACAGAATGTTTGGCAAAATTGTATACCAGTCAGTGTTGAAATTTCTTTGCTATTGTGATCTGATTAGAAATGACAACTATATCAAAACTAAAAAATTTAACAACTTCTACTGACAGTTTTAACAAACTGATGCAAAAAAGATTTCATCAAATCATGTGACTATCAACTTAAATCGATCGTACTGAGTGAAAAAAAATATTCATTGAATAATGTCAGATTTCAATATCCTTTTTTGACAAAAAGTAATTCTAATAAATATTTTAAATTTGAAAAGTTTAAAGGAAAGTTCTGCGAGAAATTCAAATGGTCCAGAGATTTTTTTAACTGACAGTTATATCTGTACGTATATGAATGTATGTGTGTACGCACATTGTTAATCAGTATTCAGTACATACAATTCTGAAGGTGACAAATTGTAAAAAAAAAAAATTTATCGAAATTTAATGGTCAGCAAATTGTTGTATTGATCGGCGAAACAGATTCATCACTGGTTAGATAATTGGATTTTGGTTAGATAATTTCTATATTGTACAATTAACACATGAAATGACAGTGAAGCATAGTTGTTTTAATGAGTTTTACTTTTCAATTCTGGATGAAGATTGATTATTTTTTTCTGTGTACTGAGAATTTACTAAGCTGGTGACACTAAAACAAACAGAATAATTAAGTTCTAGCAAGTATGAACTAAAAAAAATTACGTCAACAAGGAAATGCGCAGTGCATATTTCATTTCTTAAGTTTTAAACAAACATATCAAAAGTATACTGTCCATATAATGTAGAACACAAATCATAGTGTAGAATATACTTTTAGAGTGATTTAAAAAAAAAAATCATGTCGCTTTTACACTTGAAACAGAACTGTTTACCTTACGTGTCATGAATAACAAATTAAAGAGTAATATTTTTATCTTAATTTACCAGAATAGAACTTTTCACATTGAAATTGTGAGTCTATTGTTGATAGACCACCGTTAGAAACCTAGAAGCACTGGACGGCCGTTTCGTCCTAGTACGATGGGACTTTTCAACAGTGCACATCCTCGACACTCACTTGCAGGAATTAAAACCAGGACCTTAGGCCTTGCGTGCGAACGCATGTCCTCTGGACTACTGAATGGGCATCTTTTGATTAATCTAAACAAACTTTTTAAATAAGTTTTGATTTAGAGATGTAGCTTTGAATTAAATGACTTAGACATTGAAATTCCAGTTTTAATATGATCTAAATTCTTCGTGTTTATTCAATCAGAAATAATTAATATTTTTCAGTCTACTAGAAATTTGATCACTTTTAATATGATTCCTTTAATTAGTACTAAGTAGTAACGAGTTTATGAAATCATTAGGCATGTTGTGTGTATGAATTTGAATTAAATACACCAATAATAATTAATTTTAGATCAACTCCGGCGTATAAATAAACAAATTTAACTTATTGAAATGTTGCACTTGTTGGCTAAAGTCTGAATTCATAACAAATAAAATCGCAATCAATACACGTTTGATCCTACAATATTTCGTAGTTAGTTCACTTCCAGTTATTCAGTCCAAACTACACAGAAATTATTGATTCATTCAGCTTAATGACTGTGAGGATAATTGTAACCGTAGGAAAGACACCTATACACAATTAGGACAAGATGATATATTCTGCATTAACACTGATTTATGGAACATTTTAATGCGATACATTATACTAAGCAAACTTTTCTTTAATTCAGGTGTTTTTTGTTTTAAACACAAATGAAAATTAAGTGTTTTTTCTGAATTCTTCATGGCTTTTAAAATATACTTAATGCGAAGTAAATAATCGAAACTTTATTCTTTATTTATTTAGAAATTAAACGATCTTTGTTAAGTGAGATGCATGAATAGTATACTGTAATAAATATTGAACTTGGACAACTTCTATCACTGGTTCAAATTGATTAAGACAAAAGGGTTATAATATTCAAAATCCGGTGGGCAATTAACATCAGGTACACCAAAGCACATTATCAAAGATTCCTATTTGTTTTAGATATAAATATATATATATATATTTGTGGTCAGAAGAAATTTGTGAAACCCCTGTCCCTTACTTGACCGGATAAAACTTAATAAACGACTTTAAATTTTTTAATAATTTGATTCTTCTTATCAATAGCATTATTTACACATTCTACATTTCATTATGGGGTTGTGAAGATTGTTAAGTTACACATTTTCAAACCATGAATCGATCAGTATTAGACCATCATTATTAAAATGGAAGCACTGGACGGCCGTTTTATCCTGGGTTCTAATCCTACGAGGGGCAGGAGTCGTATACACGCACTGCTGAGGAGTCCCATACCAGGACGAAACGGCCGTCCAGTGCTACCAGGTTTCTAATGATGGTCTAACATTGATCGATTCATGGTTTCAAAAAATATTCTTTAATGAGTAGGACAACAGAAAAGAATGACATAATATTCATTTTCAATTAAATAGTAACATAATGAACGAAATTTACTGATACATTGAATGTCTGACTTACTAGATTTTAATTTGGAATCCAGATTGTTTTTAGAAATTATCGGTTGATTTCCATTAATCTGATCTTCCTTCGATTTCGTTGTAATCGTGGTCATATTTATGAATGGTTTATGTTCCAATAAATCAATTGGTGTATAGTTCGGTACCAATAGTAAACAGTCGTTTAAGCCTAGTTCACAGGTTTCGCCACAGAATTCAACATTTTTCTTGAATAATTCCTGGATTTTTTTCCAATAGTCATGTTGTTATCATGATCAGTGTTGATTGACATGTTTGATTAGATTCCGAATAGTTATATTTTTGTTTAAAAGGCAAAAAACATTATTTTAGATATACAACAAAAACAATATAATTATTGAACATTGTTACCGATAAAATGAATAGAAAAAATTTTGTTTCAAACAAGTTAATACTAGATTATCAAAGCGCATAGAACAACATGTTTCTTAGATCACAGGATACTACGGTACAGTACAATCTAATCAATGTTGTTGTGAATGAATCTTCACCAAAAACTGTTTCTTTTTAAATTAAATGATCAAACAGTAAAAAATGCATTCATTGCATGAAATCTGTAGACGCATTATTTAGAATTGGTTGTCTTGGGATATTTGATAAATTTTCAAAAAAGGATATGTTCTCCAATTCCGGGTTGATTGTGTAACAACGACCACGAAAAAAGTAAACAATATATCTCCGAAAATTTATTTGCTGTTATTTATTTTTCCTTGTCAAAAAAAGCACTTGTTTACAAACATGAATCGAAACTACTAAGATTGTTGTTAGTTTTTGTAAGGAAATAGTAAACTAAGTGTACACAAAAAAGCGTAGTGTGGTCTGTGCATTACGACGAACCAATCAACAGTTTTTTTTCCCGATGCACAAAATCCTATTCAATGAAACTTGTTAGTCTATTGAATTCTAGCCTTACTAATATTATTATAATGATCATTATATTCCTATCATTGTAGTCTCATCGTCTTAACTTTACATGTCTTCAGTTGCGAACAATTACTCGCTTTCATTTCCTCGTGATGATACCAACGAAATACAGTTGTCGTTTGTATCTAACTGTGTGCGTACGTGTGTGCGAGTGTGTATGTGTGTGTGTGGGATTTGTATTAGTAGGTGTACATGTGTTTACACATTCACGTTGGCGTATTCCATATGTGTGTATTATCTATATGCTTGTTTCTATGGCAGTGAAGATGAGTGGGTGTGAGAAAATGCCTAGGTCTTTTTTTACAGTTTAAAATAATTGTTTTGTTTTTTTTAAAAATACGAATTGTTTATTCTTGAAGATTTTCAAAGAAATAACCGAGTGTGCTTTGTTTTTTCAAGAATGAATTTATATTTAAACGCTGTGCTGTCCAAAATAAATATTAGGCTTGATAAGATTTGGTGAAGACACCTGCAAAACCTGATAACAGTACAAATGTACCTGTTTAAAAGACAACCGAAAGTAACTATGTCAATACAAATAATGATAAAAAGCCGTGACCAATAGAGTTAAGCCTTGTCGGGTGTGGAGCAGTAATCCACTGAAGGTCATGCACTATCGTGGATCAGTGAAGCTAGACACTAACACCTCACTGGTTTATAGGTTCTCCGTTCAAGCGTGAAACCTCAGGCCTTAGATTCGATTCCTGCGATAAGAGGTAGTGAGTGCACGCTGCTGAAGAGTTTCATACCAAGACGAAACGGTCATCCAGTACTCCTCCGTTTCTGATGTTGGTTTTTATCATTGATCGATTGATGATGCCAATAAAACTCAACAATCTTCACAACGCTATATTGATAAGTAATTGTTGTTTCCTCACTTAGTTCAACATAGACAATTCACAATTATAAACAACGAAGTTACTGATGAACATTTTTCTCTCATAGAATCGTTTCAAATAGTGCTTCTTGTTCATTGAACACAATCCTTGTTTGAAGTTTTGAATACAGGTTAATTTTCACACAAGAAATATTACTAATGGTTTCGTCAATTTATATGTTTGTGCTAACAGTACACGAATATATTTATAATGGATACTGAACATTTCAGCAAAGCATTATACTTTGTCATACCAAGTGAGATAAAATTTATTCAGACGGTTGGGAAATTATATATATATATATATATATATATATATATATATATATATATATATATATATAAATTATCAATCTGGTAATCAGTCAGTATATAAGTATAGATGTCTAACAATAACGCTCATGATAAAATAATGTTAAGCATAATTTTTACACAATTGAAATCATCAATCAATCATGGTTAGACCACCATTGGGAACTTATAAGCACTGGACGGCCGCTTCGTCCTGGTATGGAACTCATCAGCAGTGCGCGTCCACGACTTATGCAACTCACAGGATTCGAAACCGGGACGATTTCAGATGTGTAAAAATACTAGTATCCATAACTCTAATTGGAAACAAGCATAATTTATTTCGTATTAGTTAACATAGAAATTATTAAGTGACTACGTGATATTACTCTGAAAGTTCCGGTTACATAAAACTTCTAGAACTAACGTTTAATGTTTACAATAAGTTGCCAATCATTTTTGGTCCTGTGAAAATTTTAACAAGTTACCAGTACATAAATAATGTGTAGAAACTGTGGAAAATGAGATCAAAACTGGGATTTTTTCATAGACGGTGATCACAATACATATTTTTTCACGGTCTTAGTACTCAGTCAACTTCAGATTGAACATGCCACAGTGTTTTCATTTTATTTTGTTCCTTACTTAAATCAAAATAAACAGAAATATTAACAAAATGACATTTCAGTTTGTAGTTTGTGTGTATTTATGTCAAGTCCATAGGGCTTGTTCCGGCCTTTGAGCAAATTAACCCATTCTTATTCACTCCACTTTAGACTTTGTCAATCATTCGCCCATAGCCTCGGTTGTTTTTATTTGAGTGTATGTGCCGCTAACTTCACTTATTACATTTCGGCTTATTTTCGCCTAACTATAAATACTTGGTCATGCTTCATAACCTTGAGGTGACTCGTTCGCCTCCTTCACTTTACTTTGCTTCGCTCATACGCTTCGCATTCTCATGTGTGATTGCGCAAACGATTGTACGAAACCGTGTTTGGCTTTTTATTACCACTATCGCATAAACTAGATTCGCCTAAGTACGATATACGGAAATTAAAAGGACGGTCTATTCCGTAGCATACTTGATTATCACAAGCCACTGAAAATTCTTATTTGAGAAAAATAATTACGTCCACACATATAAGAATGCAACTCATATTTAACATTAATGTTTACTTCAGATTTATGTCATTCAAGACCATGAATTCCTTGAGTAATCGTAATCAGTTTGATAAATCAGTAATTTATATATTTTTTTAAAAGTTTCATTCACGATGAAATTTGTTTTCAATGTCCAATGTTTAACAGTAGCAAATTGTCGATTGAAGTGTCTATAAAAATACATTTACAGAATGTTCTTAGCAGCTTAGCCATATCTGCTATTTATCATATTCGATACGCTAGTTTTACTTACAAACACGTGTAACTTATGGATGAAAACATGATGTCCTAATTCATGGAAATAAATAGTTAGTACCGTTGTTTTAAATTATTAGATCATAAAATATATAAGTGTGATCGATCTCCTTAAATATTTTTGATCCGATATGTCTATGCGTAAGAAAAATGATCACAAAGTTATCTGATAATCATTTTTAACAAAAAAAAATTTACTGAACAGCATTTTTAATTGCTCAAACTATATCCCATACATTACTGAAAAGCTCAAGACCGGTGTAGTGTTAATTACAAATAAGTAGCAACACTGTTTAAATATTTATGAGTGCTTCTGTTTTTATGAATGACTTAAAATGTATTTTAAGTAATGTCAAATCAGAAATGTGAATACTTGTCTCTCCTGATGTTAACACATTCAGTTTGTTTCTAAAATTTAAACTTTCACATCATCTAGTTATCTATTTGTCTCATTTCTTTCAATGATAGAAAGATAATCAGAGGTGTTTTGCTTTGCATTCATCTGATCAAAGTATAAACTTATTATGTACATCTATTTATTTTAATTTTAAATCATGTGAATCATTTTCGTATATATACAAAACTATTTTTTTTCTTGATGACTGATGGACTGATTTCAAATCACATCTTTCTTTCAACTTGATAATGTCCAGATTAAAATTTAAACATCTTGTTTTAAGAATAAACTTGCAAAAAAACAAGTAGTGATATTGCATTTTGTAAAGGTACCGTTTATAACATTCAAAAAAAATAATAATTTAACCAAGAATTAGAGATGATTTATCCGACTGAAAGTCAATAACGTAATAAATTTCTAGATTGGCATAGTTAATTTTTTAGGAAACTACATTTAAGCGAACAATATTGTTTTCAATCACACCGTCATCAAGCTTTATACTCTGATATACATCAATAATTAAAAGAAAATGGTAAACCAATCAAAGCAATTCATGAGTCACTAATCACATTGAAACACAGATTACATAATTACACACAGTTAGGTAAAAGTACAAGTTGCTGGTAGTCAGACCGGTGTACTTTTAGTGTAAAGACTAATAAATTATAATAACAAACGTTTTTATCAATAAACTCTATCAAAATTACTCAATAAGAATAGGGTAAAATCAATTCGATGGCGAAGAATATAAATGGAAGCGGGTGTGAAAGATTACAAACAATGATAGGATGTGAAAATAATACTCCTTATGATAAACTAAGAGCAAGGAACAGGCATGTCACCAATTTATTCTGAACACATAAACTGAGGTTAAATGTTCGACTTCCTACAGTTTCTACTCTATGCAGGAGACAGGATCGAACTCCGTTCGGAAATGATGGAAATGATTCGGTATTATGACGACATTCAATCAGGTGTCCTGATTTATTACGGAAGTTGTTGCACATTTATTGATTTATTGAATTCATAGTGTAAGTTCAATGAAATTAACAAAACTGTATAGACTTATTTTAATAGTCATTAACGTAAAAAGTAATTATCCAAATTAAACCTGAACTGAACTGAACATTTAAATATTCAATGGTTTCAATGGTTCAAGAAAAGTTGATTGTCCACTCAAGTGTAGTTTAAGCTCACTTCATGATGATGACATAAATGTGAACTAATAATTAAACATTTTCGACGGCTTGATATTACGGGAATGTTTATACGAACCCAATTTACAATAGACGTCAAGTTGGGAAAAAATTACTTCTATCGGAAAAGTGATTTTAAAAATGTTAAAAAAAAATTAAGCATTCACTTTCTAACTAA